TCACGCCAAATACGCTCTTTGACGTATTAATATTAATGTGATGCTTATTAAGTCTATCAAAAACAGTTTGCAAGTGATTAATATGTTCATCTTCTGAGGAGGATGCTACTAGAATATCATCTAAGTAACAAAAGGTAAACTCTAGATCATGCAAAAGAGAATTAATATATCTCTGGAAAGTTTGTGCAGCATTCCTTAATCCAAATGGCATTTTTAGAAATTCAAATAATCCAAAAGGCGTTATGACAGCAGTTTTTGGAATGTCATCAGGAGCTACTGGAATGTGATGAAAAGCCCGAACAAGATCAATTTTAGAAAATATAGTTTTTCCATTTAACTGGCTGTTAAAATCATGCAAATAAGGTATAGGATATCTATCAGGAACTGTTTTTGCATTTAGGGCACGGTAATCCCCGCAAGGTCTCCATGTACCATCAGTTTTAGGAACTAAATGAAGTGGACTGGACCAACAGCTTTTTGAAGGTCTGCAAATGCCTAACTCAACCATCTTGTGAAACTCCTTTTTAGCTACCGCAAGTTTTTCTGGAGGTAAACGTCTAGCTCTAAAGTTCACAGGCTGACCTGTTGTCTGAATTGAGTGAAAAACTGTGTCCTGTGAAACTTTAAAATTAGGATTTTCTTTCAGTAAATTAGGATATTGGTTGATAAGTTTTGAGTATTTACCTTTTGGGTCAAGAACCAATACAGATTGTTGATTTGAAAGTTTTTGAATTCCAATAACAGATAATTGAGTCCTGTTATCGATTAGTCTTTTATTTTTTATATCAACAAGTAAACCATAATGTGATAAAAAGTCTGCGCCAATTATGGGTTGGGTTACGTCTGCAACTATGAAAGACCAGACAAACTTTCTTTTCAAGCCTAGATCAAGTTTTATGTCTTGTTTACCGTACGTTTTGATAACAGAACCATTGGCAGCATATAATTGTCTATTACTTACAGCACATTTGTCTTTGTTTGTGAGAGGCAAAACAGATATGTCTGCTCCAGAATCCACGAGAAACTTACGACCACAGGGTAAGTTGGTTACAAATAAGCGGCGAGATTGAAAGCCCCTGTCATCCTGAGCCGCATTTAGTGACGGGGCAGGAAGTTTTCCTGTTGTGCATTCTTTTTTGGTGTGAACAAACAAGGTTGAACACATTTTTTAGCATTTTCACCAAATTTGTTATGATACCAGCAAATTTCACCTTGATCATTTCTCTCTTTAGGATAGTAATTGTTCTTATGTTTGACTGGGAAGTTGCGTTTACTTAACTTAAGAAGTCCATCAATAGACTGAGTTAGTTCGCTGACTTGTTTTTCTAAGTTGGCAATCCGATCACTAGATTGCGCAACATCTCCTTGAGCACAAACGTAGTTGTCGACAGCTGATAGTTCAGCTATTTGGTCACCTAATTTAGCTAAGTCATCAAGAGAATTGGTTTGAGAAGCAGCTAGAGCAGTACGAATGTGACTAGGTAGACGTTGTAGAAAAATAACTTTCAAAAAACTGTCAGTTACCTGTGTGCCTGCTAAGGTTCTCATTTCACGAAGAAGAGTTGTCGGCTTCTTATCTCCGAGAAAAACTTCTGTTGTCAGTTGTTTTAGTTTGGCATTTTCTGAAATTTCGTATTCTGAGCAGAGCCTTTCTTTTAAGTCAGAGTAGGGAGTTTGAGACAAAGGTTTGGTAATAAAATCCGAAAGGTGACTTGCAACTTCATTGTCCAGTGAGCTCATTACATAATTGTATTTAGTTCTTTCCTTTGAAATTCCATGAAGAGAAAACTGACATTCAATTTGATGAAACCAAAGTGAAACATTTTTTGACCAAAATGGTGGAATTTTCACTTGAATTGGTGAGATTTGTGAAGCCTCTGGTGTGCTAGGAGTTGGAGTAGAATCTTGATTATTCATTATGGTCCAATTGAATTAATGACAATAAAAAGTACAGTAAGGGGTCACCAAATAAGGCTTGTGCCTTATATAAATATACTAACACAAAATAAGTTAATTAAAAGAAGAGATTATAACATTGAAACACTTTTGTATTAAGAAAGAACTACAATAAAATCAAATATAAAGTTTACAAACAGTCAGCTGATCATATGATAATTTTAACATTCAAAGTATAGTTGAGACAGTAATTAGCAGATTCAAATTAATGGCAAAACCATGTAGCCACACCCCCGTTATGTTGTATTTTGTAATTTGCTAGTATACTGTACAGTAACTTTTATAAACTTAATTTATAAGTTTTTTGTTTATTTTTTTCTGGTTATTTTATATAACCATCATGGCTACTTGGGTTATATTTTTAATTTTCAAACGAGTTGCGTATCGACATATGATTTATCCTGAAGTAGTGGCTTTCGCCGATTGTTTAGGCCTAAGTCACTCCAAACTTTAGGCAAAATAATTCCACTGAATTTCGAGATATATTTTACAAACACACAGACATAGATCGTATTGAAGTACATTAGTGATTTGGCTAAGTTTTTTTTTTTTTTTTTAATCACCTGTGGGGCTGTTTTGCAGATTCCTTTATAATGTGAATACATGGGAGTATTCAAAATATGTGGTAGAATCTTTTTATATTTCTATTTCAGAAACTATTTCCCTTGATTTCAGATCTCAATATTGAAAATCCAGTCTACAAAAAAAACTAATGTCATAACATAGTCAAAGTGTTGATGATAAAAAAAGAAGAGCAATTTACGTGTGCAAATCTCGCTCTGCCACAAACAGATTACGAGGCAGTATAGTTCTCATACGCATAAGCTACTTTCTTGTCTTCTTTGAACTTTCAGCTCTGAGCCATTAGTCTAAGAATCTATTTCCTTCCTGAAACAATTATCTTTGTAAACTAGGAGAAAGAAATCCAAAGAAGTCGGCCAAACAGACCGTTGCGGCCCGCCCGTGTCGTGGCCCAGAACGGCTCAGGTGGACAAGACAATATATCAATTATAACTTAGTTATTTGTCAGTAGTAAACAGTATAATAAACCAGGTGGTAAATACAAATAATTTTTCCTACAGTTACCTAACAATGTACAATGTACATGTTCTCTCACTGATTTGAGAAAGCAAAGTGGCCAATTCGCTCATCAGTGAGACAATGTTAACATTGTCTCACTCTAATTACTTTGTCTCACTCCAGATTTTCAACGTGAAGGCACGAAATAGTAAGCGCGTAACATGCAGGCAACGTCGTCAATTGCTCACTTTTCTCACTAGTTGCACAAATAACTATTCAATGCAATAGGCTTATATAATAGGAAATCCATGGAATATTGTCTTATAATAAAATTTTAAATTTGCAGTAACACAATTTAAATTACGGTTCCTAGAGTTTTATCATAAAACCTACTTAAAGATTTCCCAATGTAGCAGACTTTATTTCTAGGTAGCATTCAGTTCAAAATTGGATACCTTTTGTGGTCAAATTCATAAAAGTTTGACAAATCGTACCACAATAAACCATTTTATTTTTACTTTTCGTACAACACTTAAAACATTACAAACATGTAAGCATTCACATTATGTAGGTACTCGAGGGCAAATGATTGAGTAAATCTATATATTTGTATCATTCGTCTACAACATTTTATTTCAATGTAGTTTTTATGTGGCGCGTTTCCCTCATGTTATCGTAACGGAAAACAATAATATATAACACGTAAACACTGTAAACTGGTTGTTAGATTTTTCGTATTTAACAAAATTTGATTTTTTTCTTAATCTTACGATTTGATCAGTTTTAGTGAAATTTGTAGGAACCAACCTAAGGATTTTTAATGACAAGTTCCAGATAGCCTATGGTAATGATAAGGTTATGAATGTGGCTATTTTGATCGTGGATCTTTTACTACGAACAAATTTCGATTATTGTATGTAATTTGGTTGGTCAGAGTTTTTCTGCTTCTTTGTTTTTTCTGTATGATTCACTTTTGGCAATTCATATTATATGTATTTTTTATTGATCTATCAAATGCCGTACCGTATTGCAAATATATGACTCTTATGGTGCTTTGAAATGAATGGGTTTCTTTTATCAATCAATTAAAGTAAGTGGTGAAACAAGGATGGATTAGCAAAATTTAAATCAAATTCGAGAAAATAATTCACGCATTCAACGCCTAATATATTAATAGCAAACCCCCACCCCACCCCACCGCCATTCATCGATCAAGTCATTCAAGTGATCATATGAAGACTCGATTACAAGTTCGTAAATTAATTATACTACCTAACGTGAAAGTCATCAGCGCCCAGCGGACATGATAATCAACTACATATATAATACATACGTTGTAGCAAGGAGTGATTATTGTTGCAGGAAGTACAGTAACTAGTCTAGCCGTAGCGCGTGAGATCTCCCAGCCGTGGCCGTGGCATTGGAGAGAAACCTGCATTCCTTCCCGCACCCGCTACCATCCACCAGCTGATCCGCTGTATGTGTATCAGTATTCAGTTCAAGGAACGTTATACGTTATACGTTAACACAGTCGGTGAATGTTATACGGCTGATTAGACACAAATGTTGATCAACTTTTGTCATTTTTCCCTTTTCATGATTTAATATTGAATATAACGTGAACTTCACTGTTTTTATTTATAGTTATAATGCTATGTTCTTAACCTCCTTTGTCCTATTAACCACATAACTATCTAGGCATCTACAAGTTAAAACATTTAGGCGCGTATCGATAATCATTTAGGACACAAATTGATCTAACTGTTGTAACCTAACCTCGATGATCTCGAAGTGAAGGAGATGTCTGAGGATTCTTGTTCCCACAAACAGTGTAAGGTTGTGGGTTATTAGCTAGGTTTTTAATGTAAATCCAGTCTCAAATATGCATTAGCTGCAATTGTACCCAATATCACTTATAACTAAATTCTAATGGACTTATTATTACTTTTTGAGGTATTTTACAGTTATTTAGGATACTTTGCATACAATGCAAAATAGTCTAAAATGTTATAATCAGTACTTACATTTAATGTCTCTCTTGTAAGGAGAGCCATACCCCGTTGAGGGAGCGCTGAAGCCCGGAGAGGACGGAAAAGATGGGGGGAGGAAGATACTCGAGGACCCTGAGCTAGAGGGTGGCGGGGGGCCGCTGTAGTCGCCGCCTCCGGAAGGTGCTGGGGCGGAGGCTACAGGAACACCGTAGGAAGTAGACGGCACAGGGGGAGGTGGCGCGCCATAATTACTAGTAGGAGGAGACGGTGCTGGCGCCGACGGAGCAGAAGGAGCGCCGTAGCTACTGGAGGGCGCCGGCGGAGGGCCGTACGACGAGGGAGGTAGTTTGGCGAAAGGAGGAGGTCCGTACACAGGTTTAGGTGGCGCTCCGTAGCCTGTCCCAGGACCTGAAGCTGAAGGAGGCCCGTAGATGGGTTTGTGAGCGGCGTACCCAGTACTGCCTATGCCTACAAATCAGTTTACACGTGAATTTAGTCTAAAATTGCTGTATCACTAAAACTATTTAAACATGCTTTATAGATAAAGTTAATAATTTGGGAATCTACAGTTGGTAAATGACATATGCTACCCTGGACAGTTTAGTAAGCTCTGACAATCGAATCATTGCATCTTCGTCCCTTTTACGCTCCAAGAGTAGTTCTCCTTCAGAATCACAACCCATTTTCAAGAAATCAGTTGTCATTGTCAAGGTCGCATCACAGCCCTGACAGTGAGGTAACCCCAGCCCAGCCACCACAGAGGACGCTCTTTATGATGCAACCTCTAGCTTCACTTTCATCCAATGGGGCTGGCTACCCGACCACAGGAAACAGGAAACCCGTCCGGGCAGTTCCCGGAGAAAGTAACCTTGGACCCGCTAAGGTCAGAGACTTGGCGCGTTCATGATTTCTCTGCTACAACTGCGGGTGTTGGTTGTAAGTAATTTTGCGCAATACCTAATTTTGTGGATTTTGCCGTTGTTATGAGTTGTTTCTGAATGGTATATAAGTTGTCAACGTGAAGCCACAGGAAGCTGTGGTCAGTCATCAACATCAAGTCTGGGCTCAGTCGGTAGCCCTGCCACTACTGTTTATCTCAGTACAGTTCACCCTCGTATTGAACCGGCTCACCCCATGGTTTTCTGGACAAACTCTACGCACATGCCTCTGTGGCCGATGTGGACGGGCAATGCAAGGTGAAAACCCCACCAACCTCAAAAAAAAAAAATAAATAAAACAATCTACAAGGTAACTTATTATAAGATGGTAACTGGTGATTTATTTAAGTGGAGAAACAAATTTATATCCTAATAAGTAAATAAAAATTTAGTCATTCCTATATTCAAGCATTAGACATATTAATTTCTTTCAGGTTACCAGTAGCGCTGAGCCCAGTGGCAGACGGAGGGACGTGCACTGGCGAGAGCAGCGCCTTGGTGGCAATGTGGCGACCGAAGTCTGAGATGGCCTCCCCCTTGGTCTGCAGCAAGTGGCCCTTGGCCGCTATCAGGTGACCTTTCACCTTGATTATCTGACCCTTCAGGGCGATCACTCCTCCGGTGATGGCCTTGATGGCCTGAAGCAGCGTCGAGAATATTGCCTTCTTAAAACTCCACAAACTGAAGGCTTTGTGGTCATACTGGAACATTAATTGTAGTTATTTAGTTTTTAAGAGTACTTTTATGCATTCTAAGAATGTAACAGCACTCTATGCTGCAAAACTTATTTTACCAGCTAATTCTTCAAAAATGCACCTTATAATGGCGATTTTCCATTTCACTATTTTTTTAAAGGGATGTTAAGTATCAGATTGGATTTTCATGCAGTCTTAAGTCACAAACACCTTTTGAAAGAATAAATAATTTTGCTCGTGAAACAAGAAATCATTGATCCTACATAGTATTTCCCATCATTATAAGGGGTTGGAGACATGTAATCGTAATGATGGCATTTTTGGAGGGAAGTGAAAATATGTTGATGAGTTAGGTTGTAATAAGTTAGATAGAGCTTTAGTACCACAATTATATAGTTTATAGTAAAATCTAAATTCAGAGAATCAATTTGGCAAATTTATATTATGAAAATCATTTAACACCTTTTCCTACAAATATATTCATCAAAAGGGAAATTACACAACCATCTGTATGCCTCACTAATCCGAACCAAACACTTTTTAACAATGAAGCGAACATCGCGGAACTTGTAATTATCCCAATTACAGCGTCTACGGCTGCAGGAGAAAGAATCATCAAGATTTCTCCCTTGCACTCAGTCGAGGTCTTCACAACACGAGGCCTAGATGAAGCCATCTATCACGTCATTGTTATACAAGTCTGGGCGGTAAATAACACATCAGGAACATGGACCGCCTCCCATCATCTCCTACACAGTACAAGTAGAGGCCCCGGGCACCTGCAAAGTAAATACTATAGTCTCTAGTCCCAGATATCTCTCTATCGTACGATCGTCCGTGGTCCTTGCATAAGTATCTGGTTAATTACCACACTTATTGTAATTAGGGCCAATGGTTTGTTGACATTGTAATCATTTTCAACTTAATATGTATTTTTTTTATCTGAGTAGTTCTAATAAAATATTTTTAGAATATTTTGTGCAACATTCCTCTGTTAAGTAAAAAAAACAATTTTGCTAACTTATTGAACCACAGAGTTGAATGGCGACCAAATAAGTGGCTAGGTACTGTAACTCACAGTTAGAGTATGGCTGTGACAGTCTGGGGCAGTTGCGGGTATATGAGGATGGGAGGAACTGAGCGAACTCAAGGAGCCCAACAACGAGAACTTCTTGTGCAGCTTGGAGTTGAAGAGGCCGATGACGTCAGAGCGCCGCGTCCTGTTGGTGGCGGCGTCGTCAGTGGACGTCGTCTTGGCAGGGTCGGGGACGGGGACGCTGGAGTTGGTAGTGGGGGCGGCGGTGGAGACATCTTCACACCAACACACTGCGACCAACGCCGACAGTGTTAATATCCTTAGCACCTGCATAACAATACATGGTTATTTGTGATAGCATTTGGTTTTCAATGTAAACAAGTGCAATACCATTATAGTTTACGCCGAAGATACCGAGTATATCAAAGGTATATCTCTACAAATTTACTTATTTTTGGTGTTGATGGAAAATAATGCATCGTTAGTGTATCTTCTACATGGTTCTCTGTATTTGTAACAGAATATTCATACGGAACATCCCTAGAAAGCCCACCTCTTATTTGTTTTTGTTATACAGAAATGGGAAGCTCTCTGTTTTTAACTTTTAAGTTATTAAATTTTCATTAAAACATTTCTTAAACACTAACCTATTGATACAGATTCATACGAGGTGACGTTCATAGGGGAGTCCAAAAAATTGAGCGGAATTAACAGGGCATTATATTTTCATTGACCCTCGTCATTAATCATCGACACATTAATCAGCAAACATAGAAAGAAAATTAGTAAAGAGACCTCAGATCCAAAGCCTAAATTAAAAACAGAATTTGTCTCAGTTGAATACGGAGAAAAAATCACCCACACTCTAAAAATAAATTGAAAAAACACGGAAAAACTGTAGCATTTAGAACATCTAATTAAGTCCAAAATCTCCTTAAACCTAGAGCCCAACAAAGTGTTAAAAACTTGAGTGATAAATCCGGAGTGTACAAAATAACATGCAGTGACTGTGATAAATTCTATATTGGACAGACTGGCAGACCATTTATCAAGAGGTTTAAAGAACACCTTCCCAAAAATAGTTAAACACAACAATCCAATTTTGCCGAGCACCTAGTTATTCCAGCCTGAATGAAAATTTAAAACCTTTACACATTTGTAGAAAAAGTCGAGTAATGTCATCACTAGAGCAATATGAAATTTATAGAGCATCTAAAACCAGCCCCCACAACCTCCTGAACGATAAAAGTACACTACAATCCAACATATTATTCGAATCATTGTTAAAATTGAATGAAACGCCACCTGTAGCTACAAAGGACAGATACAGGACAAAGGTCAACTCTGCAAGTAACGTCTGACCCCAGTCGAGACTCGACACACGACCAACGCGCGTCTACATGTCCGTCGTAGTAACTAAAATAAAAGTAAGCCTACCACACAGCACATAAGGATCGACTGGCGGACACAGGTAATTTAACCTTTTATTGTATGTCATACCGATCCGGAACAACAACAAACAACATAAAATGAAATCAGCAATGGTTAAAAATATAACATACATGGACTTTTTGAGGACTCTTTGTATACTCCACAAACAATATTGCATATCGTGTGGAATTCATTTTGTGTCAAATGTGGTAGTCTTTTTGAAAATGTATTAAGTTTGTATCCGACAATAATGCAGTACCTATTTGACATTTTTATTTATATTCTAAATTGATTCTTTCCGAATATCATTTGTCCATTAGCATGACTAATGTATACGGATTAATTTATGAGTCAAAGTCGTGTTTGGTAACTGGAAAGACCCCAGGATCCTGCATGGTTGGGCAACAGGACCGCATTCTACCCCGAAGTTGCTCAATCCCAGGATCTCTGCGGTCCGTGGCTTACACGTGGTCCTGGTGACCCTCAATGTCACCACTCGCCACCAACCGGTCCGGGACCATCCGAAACGAAGCACTTAAACATTCAAATGCGAAGATCAAGGTAATATCTAATCGGCGAAGTCGTATGTTTAGAAAAATAAAAGAATTCTGAGAGTTGCAACAGCATGGATTAAAGGTGCAATGACTTCAGAGTTCACCCGGACGAGTAACAGAGTTGCAGTGAACAGGTGATTTTGACACATTATCATATATGTATACTAAAAAAACTTTTGCAAAACTTATGACAGCTAGCCTGACCAGTGACCATACTACTGGGCCGAATTACACGCGGTTGGTACTAAATGAAAGATATTTTCTTGTAGATGTGCAGAATCCCTTTGCAAATTAAAAATAGGCCCAAAAATTAGCACGAATTGCAAATTAAAAAAATAATAACATGGGCCTTATTGGTTTCCATGCTGGTGACGAAATAACAACAAAATTTTATAAACAGAAATCCAAACAAATTCCAATCACATGTTTTATATACTGCGTGGAGTGAAATTTGAGAAGTCTGTAAATTACATATTTTTGGTAGAGTATTCGACCACGGGGCGACCTCTAGGAACCAATATAAAAATAAACTTTTCTTATGGAGATTTAACATGGGGCTAGTTTTTAAGCTTACGACAGCTACCCTGACCATACTACTGGACCGATTTACACGTGGTTGGTTCAAAATGAAAGTTATTGACTGTATATTTGCCCATTTTGCTTCGATTTCAGATATTACTCGACTAAATGTTATAAAAAACCGAATTTAAAATATCTATTGACAATTTAACATGGTGTAATATTTTAAGTCCATTAAGAGTGAGATCTGGAATTCTATTGGACCGATTTACATGCAGGTTAATTAACTCTATATTTTCCCATGGGCCTGAAAAGTTTACTATCCCTTTATTTATTATTCTAAAAATTTTTTTTACAAGTATTTATTTACAATCTATTCTATACTAGAACAATAAGTAAATTTTATGACCATTTTAACATGGGTTAGATACACTCCATCAAGTGCACTAATATACAAAAACTTTTAAATAGTTTGACTAAAAACGATTTGGAAGGTCTATTGGTTTAACTCTTTTGAGCCTATATGTAGCTTCACTATTGTCGAGGAGGTTAACTGCCAGGAAATTTGGATGGATTTCTTTGATATTTTTCACTTCGTTTTTTTATTTCTTCTCTAACATAGGGTAATTTTGTATCTTGATGAATAACTTTATTTGTGACAAACCAAGGTGCTTGTAAAATCTTTCTTAGTGTTTTGGATTGAAATCGTTGAACTATTTCTATGTTCGAGTTTGAAGTGGTTCCCCGGAGTTGGATACCGTAGGTCCAAATAGGTTTCAATATAATTTTGTATAAAAGTAATTTATTTTCAACAGATAATTTTGAATTTCGACCAATAAGCCAATTTAGTTTGTTGGTTTTTAAATTTAAATGAAGTCGTTTGTTCCAAATGTGTGAATGACATGTAAGCCGTCTGTCGAGATGCATACCAAGGTACTTAACTTCGTTGGATTGTGGAAGCATGACATTATTCAATGTTACTGGGGGGCAAGTTCTTGTAGACATAGTAAATGTAACTTGAACGGATTTTGTTTCATTTACTTTAATTTTCCAATTCTGTAGCCACTGAGACAAATCGTCTAATGCAGCCTGAAGGTTTGATGAAGCCAGAATAGGATCCTGATTTGATGATAAAAAAGCAGTATCGTCTGCAAATGTTGCAACCGTAATACCCTGAGTACTTGGAAGGTCATAAGTGAACAAAATATACAAAATAGGTCCAAGTACACTGCCTTGTGGTACACCTCATTCAATTTAATGCACATCTGTAACTACATCTTGATATTTAATTTGAAAAAAGCATTTGGACAAATACGATTTCAACACTCCATAGTGTGTATGGGGCAGCAAAGTTTTAATTTTGAACAATCATCCTGTGTGCCAGACTTTATCAAACGCCTGGGCTACGTCCAAAAAAGCAGATGAATCAAAACGTTTATTTTCAAGATCTTCCTTGATTACATTCACTATTCTATGCACTTGCTCAATGGTGGAATGCTTTCGGCGGAATCCAAACTGATGGGTAGGCAACAATTCTTTTTCATCAGTTATAATTTGGAGTCTTTTTAAAAAAAGTTTTTAAAAAACTGTTGATACCATGGGAAGAATAGATATAGGCCGATACGAGGATGCTTGATTTAAAGGTTTACCAGGTTTCGGAATAACAACAATTTGTGAAACCTTCCACTGTATTGGGAAGTATTCGAGGCGTAAAACTGCATTAAAAAGTACTGTAAGGAATACTATTCCTTTTCTAGGCAGCTCTTTCAACACTTACAAAAATTGAATTTAAAATAGTTTCTATTCTTTAATATTGTTTTCCTGATCGTATGAATATATAACAACATCAGCTGATTATAACAAATCACGTTTTAGCAAATTTCCCATATAGGGAATAAGCTATTACCGTAGTACTCATGGTAAGACCTGGACCCGGGACCGATTTACATTTTCGTTTTGAGGTCCCTAGAGGCCAAAAACACCATCCGTTCAAATCCATATATATTTATGGAGGCGTTTTAGTGTAAATCCAATCAGGTTAACGGGAATTCGCTTAGTCTGCAGGCTTGCTGCGGCGGGGAAATTATTGTCATAACATGTTATGTTTATGTTTTAATATACTTTCTTTAAGTAGGTTAGTAGTTATTTTACGTATACTGTATGGTGATACAACGACAATCATCTCGTATATTTTTAAAAATCGGTTTTTCTATTCCGAGTTCATTTGGCTTTTCTACCCGACCGATTTTCATGATTGAGGTCTCAAATTGAAGGTATGCAAGCACAGATTTTCCATCAAGCATTGGCATATATTTATCTATAATCGCACTCGGTGTAAACGTAAACGAAATTTGCTCCTCATGTATTTCTTAAGGAAGTTAAATTTGGTTTCTCATTGCCGAGTTCGTTTGGCTCTTCTACCCGACAGATTTTCATGATTGAGGTCTCAAATTGAAGGCATGCATGCCAAGTTCTCACTTTAAGTATCGGACAATATTTACCTACTGTATAACTCGACCAAAAGACATAATTTGATTTATTTTCGAATTCTTATTACAATTTAATATGTATTTCACCAGTTATAATTATATAATCCCATATATTTTAATCTAATACCTGCTTTCGTTTGAATAATAATTTAAACTAATAACTAATAACGAATATGATATTCAAATAGGACGAGTGAAAGTTACGCATGCTGAACAACCAACATAAAAAATAACATAAGTTTTTTTATGATTAAAAGTCAATAGCTAAAGTATTAAAAAAAATGAAATTTCAATATTTTTAACCTTAGTATTTTACCGCAAAACAATTATGCTA